GTAAAAAATAAACGAATATTATCCCTGCTACCATATATCGCAGAACAACTTAATATTCGTTTTAAAAATGAAAGCATATAGTTTTCAATATAAATAAACAAATATTTATAATATTTAACTTTAACTTTTCTTATAAAAAATATAAAAGCATGCGACTACATAACTTACTTTTAGGGCTAACTTAAATTGTGTTTCTGCTTCATTCATACAATTCATAGACATTGCATACAATCCAACTAAAGTATGCAATTGAGGAAGCCGTCTTGCCATTAAGGAAGGATTTGCTGCACAAATTCTACAGGCTATTCCAATATCTTGAACAGCTGCCGTCTTCACACCCATTACAAGGCGGCCCATAGCAGTATGTTCCAGCAAGCTGAGATGAAATACTGTCAAAAGAGGATTCGCGTCAAACACAGAAAGCTTTTCAATCTGCGTTAGAGCCTTCTCTGCTGAACGCTGGGCCCTATCAAGCAGTCCAGTTTGCATAGACTGCATGACAGTGATTAAATATACTAAAATGACCATGTGCTCTCGGGGCATCCATTGAAATCTGTCAATTGGATTGGTCATGGCTCCATCAGAGGCTGTAAAAAAGACGCTGATATAAGGATTGATAAAAAAGAAAGAAAAGGTCAAAGGGAAGACTAGGAATTTACTTTCATCCATGGCAGCGAATTGTTGAATGCTTGAATGCAGCTGTCTTAGAATGGGATGTGCTTGCTTTGCTTGGCCAGCCAAGAGATATAAGGACACATTGATTACAAGGTAGAATATACGAAGGGCTTCTCTCTGATAACGAGTACCATTCAAGTTTTCTATAAGGCGATTTGCATCAGAAAGATTAGCAGTGACTTCAGGCAACTGACGGCTAGCTAGCAGCAGCTTCAAAGTAGCGAAAAGATGAATAAGTTATAAATTAGTCTTCAAATAGTCATAATATTTTAGGTTGTGACAACTAATAGCGATAAAACACTTACCATACACTTGCTGAGCAGAAAAAGACCCTGAGTATAATCAGAATTATGTATAGAAGCAAATTCGAAGCCCATACCGAGAGTTTCGCAAGCTGAATTTACATCACGTTCGGCGACATGCGATTGCTTGGAAACACAAACAAGTCTGACTAATAAATGAATACTATGGATATTTATGCAAGATAAAAATAAGAGGGATTAATTATTTTAAATACGAGTTTATATAAAAGCTTTGATAAAAGAATGTAATCGGAACCTCACTGCTATTTTTAACAGAAGACGACAATGCCAAAATGGGTTATTATTTGACATCCGCATAGCGTCATTTAGTACACAATTAGCCTCATATCGTTTTCCTTTGCGCTCAAAAAAGTCTGCTAGCAGGTCAGCTGCTTCAAACTTAATTATATCATCTGGATGCTTCAAATGTGTGCCTAGGCTTCGAGCCTTCTCAAGATGAAACTTTATTTGGTCATCACTTTTGCTATGAAGAAATAAAAGGCGACCTAATTGCAAATGGGTCCTTGCTTCGTAGTTTGGAGGCAGTCTAAAGTATAACACAGACTTTAGGCAATGAACAGCAAGTCGGATGTTGGGAGGAGTCATTGAGCGGAACATTTTTGCAAAGCCAAGAAGCGATGCATAGCAATCATTGGTCAGTTGGTTCATTGGGTTTATCGGATTACAATCCAAAGGTGTGTAGCTCGCCATTTCTCGTAGGCCAAGAAGTTACGTCAAGGTAGAATAGAT